AATGATGCCACATCAGTATATACATATTATTATCCTGTAGACATTTTTTACCTAAGAAATGGTAAGTGGACATAAGAATCAAAACACATAAACAATTGTGCTTTATTATGGATATGTAGCAATCATGTGTTTTTACTTACTGATTTGACTGTGTGGCATGCAACAAATTTATCTTAGAAAGGGCCAATACAATCCTTTTTTCAAATTGCTGTTGTATAGTAGTCAACATAAGCCCTAGAATGTTTGTTTAAACCAAACTGATTGGTAAATAGAAATCCAGTAATTTCTGGATATGAGAAGTATTCCCAAACTGTCTGGGACACTGTTTGTTTCCCTGTAAACTTAATGATATAATAACTGAGTTCTTTGATTCATCTTTAACATATTATCTGCTGATCATCTGGAACATTACACTGGAGAGGTGGCTTAGACCTGGGCAATGTTACCATACATGGATCATCTCAAACACTCAAGTTAAATTTCCATTCTTCAGAAAAAATAATTTTCCCCATTGTTTTGTCATCAGTTTTGCATATTTTTTTAGCCTACTTAAGACACTGTAATCTTTGAAAAACAAAGGCTTTTGGATCATGCAGTGACCCCATAAGCTTCTTTGAAATAGATGCTTGCACACAATACTGCTGCTTATATTCACTCCATACTCTGCATCCCATGCAAGTCTAAAATCTTCTGTTGCCTCTTTTCTGTTTCTGAGTGGCAGACAAGAAAGATATTAGTTTTATAATGGTGTAATTTATTTTTTGTTTCTCTTTCTATCCAAGGTTTCACTTTAATGGAATTTCATAAAACATTGAATTGGTCATAAAAAGAATGATTATTGTATGGAATATAGTATAAATAAATACAAATTGTATTTTACCAGATTAACCCTTTGACGCGCGCGATATTGTTTTTATAATTTTTTTAACTAAAAACTCTAGAAATTGAATATTATGGTCCTAGAGACAAATAATATATGAATTAGAAAAAGTCTACTCTTGTCCATTGTTCTGTGGATGGTGGTCGCACTGTGAAACCACCGCGCGTCTAGGACTTTGAAACTTACTGAGGTAGTAGGGTGGGAAAACTTACATTTATCCATGGGTGTTTCTAATAAATGACGAAATTTACGAATTTAAAAAAAAAAAAAAAAAAAAAAAAAATATGTAAGAATTGCATTATATACAATTTTTTTACATTATTTTACAAAGTAAATCGTTAGAAAAATTAAAAAATAAACATTTATGTAATTTTTCTGTAGCAGTGAAAATATAAGTACCTACATAATAAGGCAGTTTGGCTAAACGGATAAAAACGCTCGGTAAAATAAGGATAAAAAAATACTGTTTTTTTTTTTTTTTTTTTTTTTTTTTTTTTTATTTCAAAAAACAAATTTTTTTCGTGACACTGTTCAAAGCATGTTTTGTCTTTTTGGTACGTTGCATAGACCCATATTGCATGTTTTTTCGTCCATGTATCTTCTATGAGGTTTCTTCCTTGTGCCACAAAATATACACTTCCTGGATCTAAATTTCACTTGTATATGGCCAGCATTATTTAGTTTCTTTTCATCTGGCACATGAAATTTGTGGTTTTTTATGTTAATGGGGGGGGGGGCTTGGTCTTTTTGGCTTTGGTATGGATCATTCGTTTTCCATTCATACTTATTTTATTCGTATTTCGTTCCAAAATATTCAGAAAATATTTTTAATTTAAATAAAACTTTACATGCTTTCTATTTTCAATTATAGCAAAGTATAATTGCATTAAATTTAAACTACAGGAAATAATTTATAAAATCACAATACTAGCTTGGGGAGCAAGTGTGTTGAGGTCAGAGAAAAGTGTCTGGAAAAAAATACTTGGCAGGTGCATGTATTGTTTAGTAATAAAATAACTGTGTGGTTTCAAAACCCCTTATCTATATCTGGGTAAAAATAAACATTCCCATTTGAGAAGCAAGGACATGCCATTGTAAAGAGCAGTGGTTTCAAGGCACAACCACTGAGCCTCTAGAGCATTGTGACACAATGCTGTAGTGGCGCAGTGGTCGCGCCCTGAAACCACATAGCAAATGCCATACATATAGAGGGGTATTTTTAATATGCAGTTTAATTATTGGTATTTTTTATTGTTTATGATAGAAATCATGATGTGCGATGAATAACTTTTGAAATTTAAAGTTGCTTATATTAATAAACGGAAGTTATTTTGTCTCTTGAAAACGAATTTTAAAAGGCATCCGATTTGAAGTACTAAGACCTAAAACATGTATGATTCTGTAGTCATTTTGTGTTATTTAGAGGTAAAAGATCAGTAATCAATCAATCAAAAATTTCGGAAAGAAGAGGAGAAAAAAATTTGATAATTGGTGGTTTCAGGGCGCGAACACAACGTGTGAAAGGGAACTTCAGTTTACACATTGCTGATTTCATTTAACTTTTTCGAAAAAATTTGCTGGAAACCACGTGAATTTGACTTGGTAGGGATTTGGCTGTTCATTCTTCTCGTATATTCGCAATAATATCACTGCATAGCTATAATGATGTGATATAAATAGGTATCATATTTGGCACACAATTACGACTGGCACTTGTTAACCAAAAAGAATTGTTTATTCATTAATGAATGGACTTTGGCTAGGGGGGAAAAAAAAGAGGAGCAGGCTTAAGCTTGAACATATTGGAAACTATTATAAAGACTTATTTTAAAGATTCCCATTGTCCTGAGTTTTGTATCCAAAGAATGGTTGTCTCCATGTGTAATGTGGATACAAGCTAGTTTTCCTTAGAAAATCTGCAAAGGTACCTCTCCCCTTAAGGCAGGTTGCCCTTGTGTACTTTGCCATAATCAAATAAACCAAACCAAATGAATATGTATCCAAACATTAAAAGAAAAAGAGGAACTTATTAAATAGGTCTATAAATCTGAGAAATGCACTGATGACTCTAAATTGTGAATTTTCTGTTATATATATTTTTATATGTGCATTTTTTTAATTGAGTACATTTGTAGTTTATTGTTACTTTTTAACAGAAATTTATGATATGCATGTTTATTATATCTGTAACTTTTATTTAAAGGTCAGTGTGTCTTTTTAATCTATATAATTTTTAATATTTGCTTTTTTCACAAAATGCTTTGGATTTTGAAGTAAAAATTTGGACATGTCCCAGTTAAACGGGAAGAAACTTTGGTAACCCCAGTTTAATATTGACAACTCCCTGACAGACACTATTGTATTGCTTCCGGGATATACCTTTGTTAATCCTTCTGATATTGCCCTTGCAAGCAAATACAGGCAAAAGTCGTTAATCCGGACTCATCGGGACTTCAGCGATTCCGGATTATCGATTTTTCCGGATTATAGATCATCAATTTAAATCTGGTAAGATGGCATGCAGAAATTATAAAATTAAAAATATGAAACCGTAATTTATGAAATAAAGAACAATTATGATCTAAAGGGTATCAAAATTTACAAAAAGAAAAAGCTTAATATTTATTTGTTTACTTTATTAAACATTTCTTTCAATGTAAGTTGTTTAAGTTGCTTCATTTCATGTGATAATACTTTCTCTTTAATTCTATTAAACAGACATAATTTCTTGTTTAGTTACAAAGTTCCGCTGTTCAAGTCCTATAACTGCTGAGTCGAGAATACCAACTAATTTTTCGATCGAAATTTTTTCATTTTCAATAACCTCTGCGTCACTTTCTTCACTATCGGAAGCGAATTATAATGACGAGGAACTTGATTTAAATCATATAAAAGACGGAGTACATCGAGATGAAATACTACATTTAGTAAGAAATTATAAGCCAAATAAAATAAAAACATCTGCCGTGAAGATAAGGATAGTGCTGACAGATGAACTTCCAATTCATTGCACGCCGCGTCGTTTCCCTCCCCTCGCAGAGCAGCGTGAAATTGATAAACATATTTCAGAATGATTAGATAATCAAAGGATATGCCTTTATCCATTTTTTGCAGCAATTCCACTTTCTGTTTAAGGGACTTCGAAACATACTTTCGCTTTGTAGATCCTTCACATATTAGTAAATATATATCGGAAATTCTATTTGACATAACCGAAAGTTCAAGCTTACTTTTATAAAATTGCTCTAACAGTCTGCAAAAAATAATAAGCCGGATCCAATTCGAAGATTAAGGAACAATGCAATCTGCAACATTAACTGAATAAGATAATTTTAGTTTAGCTTATACCGTCCGTTATACATTAAATGCGCATTTGTAAACGTATTTTGCGCACGCGCACATGCAAATTTGCAGCCGTAAAGGTCTTACGCGCATGCGTGTCCGGATTATAGATCATTCCGGATTATGGGTGTCTAAAATTAACGACTTTTGACTGTACTTCATACTTCATACCAGAAGCACTTTTTGACCCTCTCTCCTACTTGCACGATCCATTTAGATAACAGTGCTAATTTGATAAGATGACTTTTCTCCTGTAATTTAACATTGCCATGTATAAAAGCGGTATGCAAATTCTTATTTGAAGGACATATAAATATTTTGAGGAAACCAACTTTTTTAATTATACCTCTTTTTCCTTGCTGTTCATGCATTTGTGTGTTTCAATTTTAAAACTCTTGAGAATCAGTATAGTTTAGCCTCTGATTTTTATTTACATTATCTTTTGTGCAATATATCTTTGACAGTGAGTTTCATTGGTTTTTCAGAGTCCTTACAGTTTTGTTACAAAATATATATTAGGACAACTTAGAGCATTTTTTCAATTATTAAAAAAAAAAAAAAAAAAAAAAAAAAAAAAAACATAGAGTTAGTTGTTAGATAAATATGAGACAGTAAAGTTGTGTCTTTTAATATGTGTAATATATTCAATGTATCTTAATACATGAGAAACAGCCTATAGTAAGTGTTCCAAAAGCTGAAAATTTATATAAATTCAGGTTTACTCAAGAAGTAGTTTTTAAAGCTTTTTATAAAATGCTAATAATTTTGTTTTTAACAGGTAAAAATCATAAGTAATTCAAACAATGAAGATTTAACGAGGGCTTTACATACTAATCTGCAGAGTGCTCTTCATGCTTCCCTTCTTTCTTTGCCAGAAACTTTCTCTGAAGAACAGTTATACCATAAAATCAGTGAACTATCTTATAATGGTAAAAATTTATTTGTGAATTCCTAATTATATGTGTGTATATATTGTCAAATCTGTAAATTTGTTTTTGAACAAGAACATTAAAAATGCACGATCATATTATTTTAAAGATGCTTTTTAAATTTATCGTATATCATTAGAAATTAAGTTAGTAATCCACTGGTTTATACTTTACAGATGCATTTTGTTTCTTTATGCGTATTCTAGTGTTAATTGCATATCAGCATTCCTTTTGCATGCTGCATGCTTTAAATTGGCTGTTTTGAATTATCTTGTTTCATTGTAAATTATGCCAATTTGAAAAGCATCATTTTAACATAGATTAATTTCATTGCTATATTATTAAATTATTTTTTACTTTCTATTTGATATTCAGTTGAAGTTAAGTGAACAGATGTCACCACCAGGAATGGCTAATTCCATAAAATGCTTCTTTATTAGAAATCCTGTCATAGATATACTAAAATCATTTAGAAAATAGTTTCCAAATGTATTTAGTGCTCTGAGAATTTTTGCATAGTTGCAAATATGGAATCAGTTAGGAATTTTTATACATTAAAGCTTAAAGATATATCTTTGCTTTACAATATTTCAGGAACAACACAATGTATAGCTATGATATCTGCAGAGCATGTAATTGCATCTAAAATTAGTAAAGCTTAATTAATTCAAAGCTTTGTTATACTGAAAGACATAAAATTTATTTGTGCCAAAAATTTAATAATTTTCCTTCATTTCAGATAATAGGAGTATACATGTATGTATGCTAGTGTATTAGCATTATTTAACAAAAAAGATTTTATGTGTTTGTTAGGATATTTTTCATAAGTATTCACATTCGGAGGTGCATGTATGTTTTTATATCATAAACATAGTGTATGGATACTTAATTTTTCCCTCTAGATTATTAAAGAATTTCGAGCCTGTCTTGATGTTTATTATCTTGGTATCACAGGAAATTCTTAGATAATTTTTTTCTTTCCAATTGCCAATTTTCTACTTATTGATTATAGAATTAGACTGTAAATTTATATTGATAAGGGTTGAATTTATCACTTTTTTTTTTTTTTTTTTTTTTTTTTTTTTTAACTACGAGTGTAGACTACATATGCAATGTTCAGAGCTACGTTCAGCATTTATAAAAAAAATTCAAAGTGCCCTGCATTTTATTTTAGAAATGAACTCGTATTGTGACCCATTTAGTCAAAGGTATTCTTAGTAAAGTTGCAATTATCTTGTTCTTACCAAAAGGAAAATAAATGAAAAAACAATTTGGAGGTGATTTTATGCTTTACGGTATAGTCAATTAATGCATTTAGTCTTTTCATGCAGACGTGCCAGTGTAATTTTTTAAGCTTTGAAATGTTTCAAAAATGCAGCATTAATGTACAAAATCTTCTTTGTTTGTGGAAACATTTTGCATGTAGTGAAGCTTCATGCTTGCTGTACATGATTAATTTCTGACTAGTGCAATGTTTACATATTTTATTTTTAAGGCTTTAATCTGATCATGTTGTCTGTTAAGGCTGTAAATTTATATGTTAACAGGCGGTCTTTATTCGATTATGTCAATTTCCCTTTGATAAGTATTCTAAGAGGTGTGATTTCAAAAGTGATATGTTAAATGCTATTTGAATTTCTAAAAATGTGATTTTGAAGTAAGCTTAAACTTTTTAAAGATTCTGTATGTTTCCTTTTCTACATTAAAAAAAAAAAAAAAGAAGAAATTAATCAAGAGTAATCACTATTTCATGTCTGTGATTTTTATTTAAGAGCAGCAACACAATTACAAAACAGATCAACACTATTTAATGTTTTTATCATAATTCACCATCAGTTGTAGTTGTGGAATATGGGGACTTTTCACAATTCTGTAATGTTGTCAGAAAAGTACAGGAGTAGAAAACAGAAGTAGAGTCAAACTTTTCGATTCGTGAATTTAATTCATTCCCAAAGACTGTTCATAAACTGAAATAATTTTCCTTTTAGGAATGGATGTAAAATGGACTTAATTTGTTCCTGACTCACAGATGATGTCGTATTTAAATTTTATAACAGTACTTTCTGCACAAATTGATTACACAAAATTATAACCAAACATAAAAATGTGTATAATCCAAAATGGAAATCATTAAATATAAAACAGAAAAGATACACATAATATTAAGCAGATAGAAGAGTTGAAAATTGAATTTGAGTTTACTGTATCAGTGAAGAAGAGTGGACAGCATAAATGGAAAATGATGAGGAAACCTTATCATTTGAATGAAAAATTCTCTTCCGTAGAAACATGAGATATTATTTTTAAGAGGCACCTTTGCTTCTCCTCTCTCTTTTTTATTTTTTCATCTTTTTGTCTCTACATGTTACTTGAACTTACTGAGTCTCTGTTTTTCCAGCATCTCTCCTATATGATTTGTTTCTGCCTATAGTTTTTAATGTTCCCAAACTGAGACAGCATTCTCATTAGAAATGCTTATGCTTTAGCTTGCTACTGTTTTGTCTGGATGATGTCATTACTTGAAAACTTTGCATCCTACCTCCCTTTGTACAAATTTTCTGATGAGAGAACTATGATCATTTTCTTTATTTATTCTTCATTTTAAAACATTTTGTCTACAGTCACCTATTATTGCTACTTTTGAAACTGTAGTTCTTTTTTGTTATGCCCATTTTTTATGCTGCTCTAGTTACTTCTTCATGTCTTTATTAACTTCCTAACAAATTGTTTTGCCTAGATAATAGATCATAGATAACAAAAGACGTCTTAAATTCTCAAATGCTCACAGTCTCTGCCTGCGATGCAATCTAACAATAATTTCCTTTAAGGTGAATTTATGGTGTTGTGTGTCACATGTTTGTAACAGGCTTTGTTAGGGAGACTTAAGCAACTGAAAATTAAAAAATAAAGTTTCCTAGGGACTCTGGATGCCATTACATGTATTAAAAGTTAATTAAGGTTAATTATATGCATGAATGTTTATTACATTACTTTAAAACACCTTTGAAAATCGTGTGTTGTGGACTTGAATGTTTATAACTCGAGACTGTTCATCATCTGAAGCACTTCTCCATGAAGTGAGGCATTTGTGATCCGAGGTTTTGCTGTATTCTTTTGGTAAGCATACAAAAATCTGATGAATGCAGGCTGAAATAGAGTTTCAGTGAACATCTGTAGAAACATCTTAATTGGTGAAAGGTTGTTCACTTTTTTTTGGGGGGAGGAGGCTAAATACATCTTTCTGTTCACGTTCTGGTGATTTATCTACTTATGTGACTTTGACATAGCACATTAGGGCTACACATTAGCTTAAGAGGTGAGATGTTTTTATGAAGGTATTTGTAGGTGAAACAGGCTCATAATTATGTTACACATGGAAAAATCTATGAAAATGCACATAAGACCACTTCCTTCATTGAGATTTGAACCAGGGATTGAACTACCAGTATTCAGTGATCTTATCCACTCAGCCATTGGTGAACTTTTTTTGAGTAGTGCTAAATGAGAATGAAGTTAAGGATTTTTCCTAGTCTGAAAGCAGTTCATTTATTTTGTTTATATATAGTTGCAGATTTCTCTCCCTTTTTCATGTTATTTTGAATAGACAATGTTTGACAATGTTGACATGACAATGTTTTGAGATATAAAACTACACAGTATGTTACAATATATCATTGCAAAATTCTTCATTAAAAAAAAATTGCTTTTTTTTAACCTAATCTGCTTTTGACATAAAAACAGTTACATAGTATGATTATCTTTATATTTGTCAAGACAAATTTGATAAATCATCGTCATTTAATTAATTATGGTATGTGAATTTATTTAAGGATCAGAAAAAGCTTTGGATGTAAATGATTATCTAAAAATTGTTTAGTTATATTAGCAGTGTTTACAAACTGCTTTATGCCCATTTTTTATGCTGCTCTAGTTACTTCTTCATGTCTTTATTAACTTCCTAACAAATTGTTTTGCCTAGATAATAGATCATAGATAACAAAAGACATTTCATAACATTTGATTAATTAACATAAAGTATAATTGAAATGGTTTTAGGAAAACAGGTTTCTTTTTCTCCTAGAATTGTTCAGACACCATCTGCATTTTTGCCCTTCTTAGGAATACATCAGTTTAATTAGCATTTGGCAATCAAGAAACAAACAAATAAGAACTGTCCAACTTCTAGGTAGATATTATCTATGTTCTGTTGCAGTTCCTATTGTAATCTCATTGATTAGCTCTCAAGTAGAGGAAGAAATGGTTTTCAGGCTTTTACCTGATTCTGAGTCAGTTTCCAAAATGAGGTTAAACATGCTGTAGATTCAAAAAGACATTTCTGAAAATGTCTCCTAGGAAATTTCACAAAGTTCCAGCCAAAAATGGTTATTTTGGAGGGTTTCAGTATCCTTTAAAACTATGTGTGGTCTATCAAATTGGGCATATAAAATTATCGTTTAAAAATCAGGCATAAAATTATCGTTTAAAAATCAGGCGTTAGTTTCAAAATATTTTTTAACAGTAACAAGGTATTATTTTAAACTGTTCTTTCAGATAAATGCTCAAAAATATATTTTTATGCTTGATGAGAATTATTATTGATTATTTTGTTTTATTTATTTAAATATTTCATACATTTTTGCCAAGAATGGCTTATTTTTAGAACTCTAATATTTTTTTCTAATTTCCAAGTCCAACCTCTTAATAAGGTTTCACTATAGTACTCATTGCTACTTTCTAAATATTTGCAGCCTTAGTTTCAACACTTAATAAAACTGCCAGGTTCTTAGCATGCTTTTGATTGTATACGTGATATTGGGTACATTTTCAAAATTGCATTACATGCGCATAGGACATACATGATTGAATAAAGATTACACTCTTGACATTTAACCATCATTTCAGTAAGTAATATCTCTAAAGAGCTCTAAAAATATAAGCATTGGCCACATAATTTTTTTGTTTCTTTTAAACTGCTTCTTTGTATTATTATTAATGAAGAGAACAAACAGTACTCAGTAATAATGATCCTTAAATGTATAGTTTTCACTTAGTTACAAACTATGAGTTGGCAAATTTTCTTGGGGTGCAGATAATCAGAAAGTACTTATTCATTCTTTATAAAAGAAAATAAGGAATTTTAAATCTTCAGAAATGAATGTATATAAATAAAGCACATATTATTTTCTTAAAGTTTAATATGCATAATTTGAGAACATTTAATTTTCTATGAAGTTCAACCATGCAGAAAAGTTAAAAAGTGCATTTTCCCTCCTCACCATGTCTTGAGAACTCATCATAGTCAGATGAAAAGGAGAAGCATTATACATTTACATTAATGTATATCATTTTGATGTGTAGTTACCATTCTGCAGTTATTTTTAAGCAACGTTTTATGTAATTCATTTATTTACATTCATGCACTTGTTTATAACTTGAGCACAATTCTACATACTGTTAACATCTCAGAATATTAACACTATTAAAAGTGACCACAGGTAGTCTGACCATTCAGTGAATATATTATTTTTATGCTATAATCATAGCGATAAACTATTTGTAAGCATTGTGAACTCTGTACTAATGATCTAAATTTCTAATTCAAAACCAGTACTATCAAAACTGTGCCCCTTACTTATCCAAACAGTAATTATATCATGGTACTAGTTCTAAATTATTACCTCAAATGATATAATGATTGCAATACAAGATTTTGCATGTCACATGAACTAACATTCTGATATCACACATTAGAATGGCATGAAACATTGTAGCACTTGTTATAAAAAATTTTCTAGAAGGAGGAAAGACCCAGAATCATATATACTTATCTTTATAGCATGAAACATATCCATAAATCAGTCTTTAGCCTTTTATGCATTTTTAGCTTGAACAAACTATGTAGCTTTTAATACATCTTTTGAAATTATGTTTCTGAAGTGGATTTGGCCATCTTAAAATAGTAACTATTCTAAGTACTGATGAATCTACTCACTCATAAAATATGGTCTACAGATTATTCCCAAAGGGTAAAAAGTATTACAAGCCATATAATTCATTCATTGTGATTATTTGAAAACAAAAGGAAAAAAATTAATAATTTTGCAAATTTGTGCCTATTTTTTTATATTTTTAATGTTGTTTGCATTAATTATATATATAACAATGTGTTAATTACTAATGGGAAAACTTGGAAATTTTTGTACTTATGTAATAAATGTCATTGAGTAATGTCTAAGCCTTGGAGCTTTTTGTTATGAATTTTCTCCTTCAAAGGATTTTATTTCATATAGGTTATATATTTTGATGATTCAATTTCATTTCAACCTCTAAATCATTATATAATCTGATTAAATGATTCATATGCTATTTCATATAATATTTATATACTATTTCTTTCATAAATTTAAGCTAACATTTTGTGTGCTATCTGCAAATTTTAAAAAAGGCTGATAAATTTTAATAATTATGTACCCTTTTTGTCTGTTTTCAGTTGAGATATCTATTTTTTAAATGAAATGTGGTAATCATTAAAACATAGTTTTAAGCATTTGTAATGTTTATCTCACATTCTTATTTGACACTTTGATTGTTGTTGGCACAAGCTGGCACGCAAAGTTTGTTCACAGTACACTGCAATCATCGTTAGGTGCTTTAAGTGAGTATTGTTTTGATGTTGCTGGTGCCTTTAGATATTCAATTTTTCACAGTCAGTTATTCAAAAGCTTCAATAAATGTCTTTAGGTATAAGGCATTTATTTAGTTACACTTTTAGTTATTTGTACTTTTACATGAAAATTTATGTGGAAAAAAACATATTGTTTGGTGCTGAAGGTCCATCTTTTTCATGTGTTTTGTATCAGATTTGACTACAATGAAAATATTAGTTCTGTATTAAACTCTATTAAAACTCTAGAAAGCATGCATATTGAAAACTGTTAAAATACTGCAGACTTAAAACCAGTTCTGTATGGGTGAAAATTTTTGTGTAATTTTTACAATGAAGGTGATTTCAGAATGTATTTTGGAGAAGACAAAAGGAAAATTGAGAACATAGTGAAAAATCAGATTTCATACTTCCATCATTTATACTGTGATCATTTGAAGATGATGCCTCTTGTTCACTGGAATCAGACTCAACATATATTTGAGGTGAAACCGTGTTTTGTTTTTCTCTTTTAAATAATATTTTGCTTCTTAATTTTTATCAGATGTACATGTATTGGTACTTACGGAAAATCCCGTTGACCGTTTTTGCCTATTAAAGGAAAGATGCCAAACTGCGCAATTTTTCGGCAAAAATGGAAAAGTCTTCTTCAAACACGGGTTCGGTGTAGCCTTGATTACATCTGTTAGTTATTATTCTTGAGTAAAGACTCCTTTTTTCCCCTCTATCACGGATTTTTGAAAAAAAAATAATTAAACTTGGGAACCTGCTTATTACAGAATAGCATGCTGTTAAATATTTCCAAAGTTATAGAAAATTTCATTATAGTCATTTTTATTATTATTATTATATTCATTCTTATTATTCTTTATAATAATGAGTTTGAAAGAAAAATAAGAATAGAACATTTTTTCTTATATTTAGTAAATGTTTTTTTTTTTTTTTTTTTTGGTTTGGTGCGAGTGGCGCCATCTCTTGTGGTCGACGAGATTTTCCGTAAGTACCTATATATTTAAATTTGGATTCAGAACAAGTTATTTAATCAAAAAGTTAATATAATTCTTAAATATTAAAAAATTGAAAATTGACTTTTAAATTTGTTTGCTAATAAATTATTCTAGTTGCATATTTGTAGCATAATAATTGAGTGATCAGTATGTGCTTGAGGCTCATTGAAATTAAAAAATATGTCAACTTTCGATTAACCAGGCCCCTCTAAAAAATTTGTTTATTTGTTGAGGAACAACGGACAAATTACCATAGCACGCCATCAACATAAATGAAATTGTTTATGAAAAATATAAAAAGAAAAATAAGCATGTATAGAATAACAGCAGTGATAATAGGTTATAGATTATATCATAATGTTTAAAAATTGTTTCTATTCACAACTGTTCCTCTTCTGGAATATATAAACATTTTTAAATAATCTTTTGAAAGTAAACTGCTCAAATTTTAGAATAAACCAATTGTAAGGCATAATTCCTGTGTTTAGTGGTGCACCATCTTAAAAAAGTGTAAGTGGTAAGTACTCTTATATTGGCTTCAGCTCATTCATCCTATCCATGGTTTGTTATTTCTGACACATCTTCCTCAATTCCTGCAAATTTTCATCTAAATTCAATGTTAAAAAAAAAAAAAAAACTGTCAAAAAACATAATTCCCTACTTATTTGTTCATATGAGTTAAAACTTGATATATTTTCATATTCTCTTGTAAATATTAGTCTTTGATGCCATTTATAACTTAGCTTTATTTTTGCTTTGAATATTGATTTAATTTATATAACCAGATGAAATTTTCTCCAGATTAATGTGCATGAAAAAGTTAATATTAATCTTTGTATGATAGTTTTTGAAACAAAGGGCAACACAAAGTAACCTGACATTCTGTACCTGTCTGATACCTGACATTCTGTACAATGGTATCTGGTCTCTTTTTCTTACTGGCTTACCTCTGGAATCTCTATTATGGGAGCACAGAGTACACTGTCTCGTTGGATTTGATTTTTTTTTTTTTTTTTCAGTAACAGGAATAACATCTGAAAAATGCTTTGAGGTTAACCTGAGTAGTAAAGGACTAATGCTAGGTCATCCTTATGTGCCAGAAAACTCTTATATTCCTTTTTTTTTAATGCAATTATTCTTCTTTATGCATTACTCAACCACAAGCCGACTTATACTATGAAGCAGGGAAAACATGTGACCAGTCCTGCCAAAAGAACTGCGAAACCAACTAAACTTGGCAAACTGCCAATCAAAGCTGAATATTTCCTTTCATTTCCTCCAGGCTGAGTAAAACCAAGATAAAACAAATCGTACTGACAAATTCTGATTCGCTCGAGTTTTCTCGGGACAATAATTAACTGTAATATGTACGAACCCGAGATAACTCGGGATAATAAGGCAAGCGGTTAATGATAACTATTGTAGATGTGTAATACTCTACGTGTGAGTATATATATTGTTCCTATGTCATAAAATTTGATAGCTTGATTATGGACTTAAAAATAAAAAGACCTTCATTGTAGTCAATGTTCAATCACCATATTTAAATTTTAGTGAGCAATAAATTCACTTTTTCTTCCAGCAAGATTGTAGCTCTACTACTACACTGCATCATTTAAACTTCTTACCAAAGAGAGTTCAACACAATTTATTACTGAGATGGAACAGAGATGGTAGATACAGAGATATGGAAGATGTTCTTCAGGTACTTGCATGTGCTTCAGAATGCAGTGAGATAGTAAAGAATGGTATGTAATAGAATCTTTTAAATACACTTTGTACAATATTTTTTCAAAAGTAACTATCCGGTTATGTATGGCAGTAGTTTGATAATGGGTTTTTATTTTGCTTGGTTTTGTTTTGCGAAGCTTTAAAAAATATCTTGTGTATCTGATCAAGCTCGTCACTGACAGAATATTCTTTATTGTAAAATACTTTTTTTTCCTTCAAATTTCTGAAAAATATGAGTTTTTATTTTGTGTAATAGCATGGGCTTCTAGTGAAGTTTTTTATGTCCAATATCAGGCAAACGGATGGAGGCACTCCTGTTGCAGAGAAGTTTTCCTTCTTAATAATACATATTCTTTGTATAAAACAAATTCATTTTGATATGGTATACACAGAATTTGATGACATTATGATGAGCAGTAAATGGGTCATTTTGGTGTTGGCGACAATTTTCAAAATCGTACCAAGGTTGCAGTGTAAACTAGGATTTTTAATAAGTGCTTTATTTATCATTTTGCGGCAAAATAAAAAAATAATAATCAGTCATATAGCCTATTCATTTAATATAACTATATTCACCAAAATATTGTTGATTATTGTAATTCAATTTTCAAGTAATTAGCATTGTTCATACCTTTTAATGTGGCTTCTTCCCTCTAAATTTATTTGTTATTAGTTAATAATACTTCTAAATTTCAGATAATTTTCTCTGGCATAATCCTGAAACTAATCCTAGCAGTATGATGACATAATATCATGAAATTGAATGCACATATTTTTTGCTTATGTATGCTGCTAAATAAATATGAAATACCTGAATTTATTGTAAAATATCATTAAATATACTTCTATCTAGGTTCGATGACTGAGCTACCCGTTGCAAATGGGTTAAACCTCCCAGTGTTAAGGGTTTGGCTTTGAAATTTCTGAGTTCGACAAAATATCATGAATAAATGGTATTTTCTTGTTTGTAATTCTATAACGACTGTCTCACTTTGTACCTTGACTTGTTTTCTTCCAATATACATCCAACCTGAAATTGAATACATTAGAAGCAGGCAGAAATTTTCATGTGTTGTGAATAGGAAAGCCATCTTTCTAGATCGAATGTTATGTCTATAACCCTTAGAGGGTCAAATCAAATTTTTGACTCAAGAATTAATCTAAAACTTTCACTATCATTGTTAATGAGTTAAAGTGCTTTTTAAAGTTTTTAGCTTACTATATGCTTCACTGAAACTAAGTTATGAAATAGCTAAATTAATGCATTGTTCAAAATATTCTTCATCACATTCTTCTCCTCCTCCCTTTTTTTAGTTTGTTTATAATGAAGCGTGTTTTTTATTAGTCCAAAGGGACTTTATCCCTGAAGGACTATTGTTTTCGTTTTTGCGATTTTGCGTTGAATGTCCATTTCACTTTTCAAACTGTTGCCAGGCCCACCAGCGGCCGAGACGCTGAACACTGGTAGTTCGGTCTGAGGTTCGAATCACGCAAACGGGCTGGCTGCATGGGCGTTTTCGTGGTTTTCCCCATGCGTAACGTGTATACAAGCCAGTTTCCCTTAGAAAGTCCTCCACGAAAGGCATTCCTCCCTTTAGGCAGATAGCCCTCGTGTGCTTTGCCATAATTAAATACACACTCAAACTGTTGCCACCAACTGTTAGAGTTCTGCAGTCCTGTTTGTATTTGAAGAAATTAAATAATAAAAAATCTGCATAAATGTATGTATATTTCTCACATAGAGCCATCGAATTTTGAATGACGTAATCCTCCTACAAATATGGGCATGTGGAAAACCAAATTTGAAATTTGTTTCATTATCGATTTCATATTTTGTAAAACTTTAACGAATTTTTGATTAACAAATTGAAGAATTTCAAAGCGAGCAATGGGAACACTCTACGAGGGGGGGGGGAACCTTTTTATCTCAGGCGCGCGGAACTGTGTATCAGAAATTTTAAAGATATGCTCATTTTAAAATTATTTTGCGACATTGCTATTGAACTGAATTTTATGATTTAATTGCAAAGAACATGATATTTAGTAAATAAAGGTAACGCATAAAATGTTAAAAAAATGCCACTTTGGACGTAATTTAAAATCTGAAACCTTTCAGATTTTTTTATTTCTGTTATGTTTGATTCATCACAATCTACTCCTGGTATCTCCAGATGTGTTCAGTAGCTAAACTAGTATTTGGATTAAGTTTATTTTTAAATTTTTGTAAATTAGTTTCAAATTCATTATCAACTTTAATATTTGATGCACTAAAGTAAATTTTGTAAAACATTTTATAATTATTTCCTGCTAAACTTCTTTCCCTACAGTTTAATTTGCTGGATTGTATCTGAAATAGTAGTTTCTGTTGCAAATATTGAAGCTTTCATTCTTAAAGTTATTGATTTTTAAAACTTTTTTCTTATAAGGTGCCTTAAATGAGCAAATGATACATTGATCTAAAAGCTGTATTATTGATATAGTATTGTGAGTAAAAGAATAATTTTTGCCTTTATTTTTTTAATCACTTAATATAACCTATCAACCACTGTATCTTTAAATCACCTCAGATTTATGATTGTGTGTCCAGTGAAGTGATCATTTAGGTAAGTTGAACTCTTAAAGCAATGGAATCGAGATGTTTTGGTAGTCAGAAGTGATTTCTCTTTATCGTCAGCTATATTAACACTATGCAACAGATATATTGCTCTGTAAAAAATTTACCACCTTTAACATTTTGCATGGAAGTTTGAAGCACATGGAAGAATTAACACTATTACACATATTTATAAAGCATGCGCTTTATGCTGAAAGGTTATTGTGCACAAGTTCTAAAGCAGTTTCATGAGCTTTTTCTTGAACTGTGGATCCCAAAACAGAAATGATTTTTCTCTTTGCATTAGAAAACCATTCATACGTTACTATATCAACTGCTAAACTTTTTGGTCTGAGAAATTTGTTTTTTCCATTTCCTATTTTGCTGCATTCTTTCATTTGCCAATGCCATATTTTATTGCAAATGTCTTTATGCTGTGATAATCTTTACTAGCTGTTTCAATAGCGTTTTTTTTTTTTTTTTTTTTTTTTTTTTTTTTTCTGATGATAGTGCTTTGCACTTTGAGTTTATATTTACTCTTTATGGGAAAGAGCTTTTTAAAGTTTTAAAAAACCTGAACTAAACTGCGGTAATATCAGGTTTTGATGAAAGTTTCCCGCCACCACAAATATGGTATGCTCAAACAGTTCGCATTGACGTGTTTTATCATATTTTGTCAAATGATTTTTGGCAGTTGAAAGAAAGAGACTAGCTTTAGAAGTTCTAAAATTTGTAAAAAAATATTGTTATCATTATGTACAAGGTGTCTGAAATGGAACTATCATGGTAACAGATTAGAACCATCATTTAATTCCAGTTCTGTTACAAAAAGTCAGCTACAGAATGTCACCAAACCATGTGGCCGGCTTTAGTTACTAATGTATATCATATGACACTGTGAAGGATCGGTAAAGTTAAAAAATAAGGACTATTACATTTAAGAAGCAGAGCAGTCTGGCTGGCCTACTGATGTTGATGAGGCCTGCTTGAGAGAACTTGTGGAAGATGATCGGTATGCAACCACTTGAGAGCTTGCTAAGGAGTTAGACGTTTGTGCCATGTCTATTAGTCACACTATGCATCGCATAAACTTGACATACAAGTTCAATTGCTGGATGCCTCATGAGTTAGTTGACTTAAGCAGATAAGGACAGACGTGTTCGAGCCTCCACTAATCTGCTGAAATACGAACACAAGGACAAAATTTGTATTGGATCGTCACTTGTGATGAAAAATGGATTTACTTCGACAATACAGGCAAAAATGGGGGGTGGTTGGTCTGTGACCAGTGAGGCATTGGCAATGTCGCTAACCACAATTTGACTAGCAAAAATATCATGCTTTGTATCTGGTGGGAGTGCTATGGTATTATCCACAAAGAGTATCTGGAGAAAAGTAAAACCCTCGACAGTAAGTGTAAAGCGAGATGCTAGTCCGTTGTTGACACTACTATCAAGGAAAAACATCAAACTGAGTTCAGTACAAAGAGGTAATGTTCCATCAAGATAATACAAAACCACATGTGTCTGCATTCACCAGCTGGACTCTGTATGGACTCAAATGGGATCTCGAATGCCACACCCACCATATAGCCCCAACATTGCTCCTAAGACTTCTTGTTTTCACATCTATATCTTGATGATGCTATCTTTCATTCTGCACAGGATGTCCAAAATGAGGTTGATCTGTTTTCGGACTCGCGGCCACCAATTTTCTTTGTCGAAGTCTTTGAAAAACTACTAAAACGTTTGCAGAAAATCATAAATTTGGGTCGTGATTTTACCTGCACTAAAAGTACTGCTTTCATGTCTGAAATGGAACTATTGTCATATCAAAGTAGAACCATCATTTACTTCCAGTTCTGTTACAAAAAGTCAGCTACAGAATGTCACCAATGTTTTTTGGCAGAAAACTTTCATTACAACCAGATACTAGCATGTCCTTTTTTAACCATAGAAGCATTATTTATGCTGTATTATTATCAATGAGCGGGCTACTGTTTGAAGGAAAACAATTGTAACAATTTGCAGTAATGTAACTTTTAAATGAAAGGTTTTGAGTTTTTTTTATTAATTTGGAAAAATCTAGTTAAATTGAGGGAAATCCAGTTATTGCACTTTCTAAAAAGTACTGTGTTCATTTGGATAGTAAGTAGAAGTCAGTGTCATTAGTGGGGGCAGGGATTCGTCACTTTTCTCAACTCAATTTGTAAAACTTATTTAAGGATTATTGTCAGTTTGTTATATTGTTATAATTATTTTTAATGTAATATTTTCAGCTATTAAAGACATTGTCTGGTGGCCTAGTATAACCCAATCTGCCAAAGGAATCATAACAGCAGGTATGCCTTAGAATTTTGCATTGAACCAAAGTATAATTTTATATTATTTATTTATGAATACTTGGAACAAGGTCCTTTCATTAAAGAAAGCAGTGGTTATGATAATTATGGTGCTTTATCTTAAATCGGCTCCTTTTTTCTAGAGTTCAGTTTAAAACTTTTGTGTTTTTAAAACTTTTCTCTCAACCTCAAGATTTTTTTCCTTTTTGTATCTAAATTAACTTTACTTTCCTGTATAAAATATCTTTGTATAATAAACTGTATACTATATGTGCAGTCAAGAAATGATTATATTTTTGAAAAATCTTTTAGTCTATTGCTAGCTTGCAAATGGTTTCATGGAGAAGTAAGTCAATTCAGAGTACGTAAATACAGTAATCAGTTTTACACGGTTCCTTATAAAGTATTAAAATGTCATAGCAAGAGAATATAAACAATTACTGTTATTTTATATACACATAAAAACTCACTTCTGTGTTATATCCCTCCTTTACAAAGCAACAATTAAATCTTCCAATTCTTCCATTAAAGCATCTGGTAGATTGCATCATTGATAGTGTAGATAAAAAGGTTTAACCAAATATAAAATTACCTCAGAGCAGAGTATTTGCAGAGTAAAGCTTAAGTTACGAAAATGTTTCCAATGAAGAAAAAAATTATTTTTGAATAGTAAAAAAACAAAAATGTGTAGTATGTTGCATAGATAGTTATTTTGTATATATTGGATGTTTTTAACCTAATACAACAAATATTAAGGGGTGAAAGAACACACTTTTTACCACAGAATGTCTGGGCACAAGTGCTGTGGTGATGCACTAGAGGGCACATACCATTTTGGGATGCACATTTGATGCAAGAGAAGAAAGGAGAGGCACAAAACATTGAAACAAAGCTTTAATGAAGACAGACAAACATCAATAATAGCTTAACATGATGAAATAAAACAATTAGAATTGCATTAATAACAGAATAGTACAATGAATGAAAGGTACAAATGAAATCATATGTTCACACATAAAAAACTATTGAAATAAAATACACTTACGAAAGCTGTTCAGAATTGTGACCAGATCTATGCAAGTCATGTATTGGTGATATGAGGATTCCATTGTGGTCAGGAAATTATCAGGTATATCATAGTCTCCAAGTTTCTGCATATGCTTTCTCCAAGTTTCTGTAGCAGCTACTGAAAATCTGGCAATGAGATTTTCATTAGACTCAATGGGAGTCTTATATATGAAGGATTTTAGCTGTCCTTTTAGAATTGCCACCCAGATGGTCTAGTGGTTAGTGGAGCCAATTATGATACCAAAGGGCGTAGGTTTGAATACCGGAGAAGGCGTGGTTGTAACTGTCCATCCCTTCATAGGAGGTAATGGTGGCAGCCTGTTAGGTGCTTTCATAATAAAATGGCCACTGCTTTTGACCTTAGGATTTGCCAATGTCAAAAAAAGGCAAAATGGTGCCTGCCGTTCGAAAAAAAAAAGTCTCCTTAGAAGTAAATTGAGATTAGACAAATTGGGTAGTTGAGGATAAGTTGATGTGTTCCTTTCAGCCACCTGCATGCATGAACAGAAACATGGCATGCATGTAATTATAAACCACCTTGCTGAAATGCATTGATGGCTATCATGCTAGAACCACATTTTTCTGGTGGATGGAAGATGGTGCATGCTGCTACAGTTCTGGCAGCACTTGGAGGAATACCTAGTAACTCATCCTATTTGGGGGCCCACCAGCGGCCGAGCGGTAAAGTCGCCGAACACTGGTAGTTTGGTCTGAGGTTCGAATCCCGCGAACAGGCTGGCTGCATGGGCGTTTTTGTGGTTTTCCCCATGTGTAAAGTGTATACGAGCCAGTTTCCCTTACAAAGTCCTCCACGAAGGCATCCCTCCCCTTAGGCAGATAGGCCTCGAGGCTTTGCCATAATCACACACACACATCCTATTTGGATTCTCTGAAAATAGGTATGGGCCACTGATGTAGTAATTAGAGATACTTGCCTACACATTCACTGTGAGGAGTAATTGTTAGGAATATGGATATGATTGCACAGATTACCGCTGGCCTGAGTATGCACATTGTGTGGGTGCTGAAAATGCCATCATGGGAAAATGTGGCTTCATCCATGAGCAACAAATTTGCTGGAAATTCCAGATCTAATCCACCCTTTTTTAGGAACCTTAAGGTGAATTCATGCACAGAATAATTTTGCCATATGTGCAACCCTTGCATGTGTTGATATAATCACTGAGTGCATTAAGCTCAGTGTACCATGATTTGTGATATAGCTGTGTGACAGCCTACAACTATAGTGTTAATGTCAGGCTGCTGCCCTACCTGATGGATAATCTCTTCAGATATGGTTGATAATGAAACACTTCTGGCATGATCTGTGTTGACCATGTTAGTATAAAAATTTTCACTTTCAGAGAATTAGCAGAGCAAATACACAAACATCCCATGATTGGGAATGCACCTGTTGGAGGAGCATTGTCTTTAAAGCCTTTCTGCATGCCATTTTATTACTGTTGGCCACACTGCATAAAATGCACATCTACTTTTTCCTCAGTAATATATTGATTCATTCCCAGTAGCTACTGAACTTGTCTCCAAAAACCTCAGCTTTTATATCACTGCTCTTATACTTAACTGTGATATGCACTTGAAATTTTACATTGTGTAACATTCTTTACGTTCTTGGAAACTTTACATTCTGTAACATTCTTCACTGCACTTGAAACTTTACATTCTGTAATGAAAAGCTTTTGGTGTGTTTATCATCCATTAATGTTTCTTACATTAGTTTAGAAACATCCTGTGTGTTATTAAACATTAATGTTATTAGTATTTTTTAATGCAAAAATAGATTTCATGTGCTATTTTGATAATAAATTGATGCTGTTTTATGTTCATAGGATTTCTGAAGTCTGTAAAGTACAGCACAAGGAAAGTGCAAAAAATGCTGAAGTCATTGAAAAAATAAACTTGTAAAATTAAAATAACTATTATTTATTGTATATTTGCTAGATTTTATAAAAGCATCATATTTATTATTTTTCAGTGTCATATTTATTATTTTAGCTGCAATATTTTTCAGATTCCCTTTTCTTTCTATGAAAGTAGATTCTTCATTAAATAGTTTATAGGATCTTAACTGTGTAATATTAAATGAAATGTCCTTCAAAACATAGTAGACCGACAAGCAAGATATTATTCCTTCAAATGTAAATACAACAAATTCCTGTGAATGTTTTAAATAGATCTTGAATTTAAACAGAAGGTACCCCTTGTGTGTACAAACCAAATTCCATCATTTGCAGGTAGTGAAATAACATAAAACTGAATTTACACTTTAAAAGTATTGCAGCCGGACAGTGCACAAATTTGTTCTAATGGTCATGGTTTAGTTGATTATAGCAAGGCACACTTGGGCTATCTGCCTTGGGGGAGGTATGCTTTCATGGAGGACTTTCTAAGGGAAACTGGTTGATACATGTTACACATGAGTAACCATGAAAAATGTTCATTAAGGCAGCCTGTTTGCCTGCAGTCAAACCCAGGTCTCAGCCACTGGTGAACCACATTTGGTCTAACTAAGCAGACTCAACCTTTAATGGCATCATTTAATGTTGGCTGGCAAGCAGCTAATGGCAGAATGTTAATTGGTATAAACCTGCAAGTATCACTGCCAAAAGCCATACATCTAAAAAATTGTAAACACTCATTAACCTCATTTGTATCCTGGTGAGGACTAATGGAAAAAAGATGTTATAGTAAACATTGAAGTATTAAAAATTGGTTAATTAATATACAATATTCCTATAAGTTTGTCGAAACATTAAATTCTTAAGAAACTGAAAATGAACTCTTTACTTGATTGTTGTGTAGTCTCGTGTAAGTTAGTTCTAGGTTTCATCTTACAGAAATCTCATAATGGATAAATTAAATGGAGACTGCCTTGTCTGATTCAAATATAAATATTAGAAATATTATTAATAATACGAGAACCTATTGATCAAAACAGCAGAGTGTAAAAGAACTGGATTAAACCAATATATAAGCAGAGTATGAGAAGCCTTCAATTAAAATCATTTGTTAATTAACCTTGAAAATAATTACATTGTAATGCAGGGTAAATAAAAAAACTGTATCCAGCTGCAAATTAAGTTCATGATTTTAAAAAAAATTAATAAATTATGAAAGATTTTTAAAACATGAAAAATCCAGTGTTAATTTAACAAATGATTACTATTGGAGAAGTCAGACGACAAGGATTGGCATAATATTTGTAAATTTTTGTAGGACTAGTTTTGATGGTGTAACTAAGAACCAACTGCCTCAGCTGCCTAAGTGCAAATAAACAAGATAAGAAACGGTGATAAGATAAGCTACTGGTGCCATCTATTGCTAAAACAAGAAAATTAAAACATAATTTTCTTAAAGGCTGAAGATAAAGATGGATTAGAATTAAGGTCGTTAACTAGAACAGAAAATCTAATTCACCAATGGAAGATGTTATTTGAAGGATTTTAGCTGCAGAAAAATAGAAGGTGTGATTTTCGGACCAATGGTGCTGGGCAACAGAGGATTTGAGGAATGTAAATTAAAGCACATTGACAAGGAATCCTGTAAATACCCCAGGAAATCATATCCAGATTGGGGTCCTTAAGTATGGAACTGGGAATTTTATTGCTAGGTCCACTTCAAATCATGTCATAAGATTAAACAGAAGTTAGCTTCATTTTATTAGTTTGTTTTCCATACACTTGAGGTTTGCTCCTCCAAATTGGCTCTTGATCAAGAACTATTTCATTTAAAAGTAGTTGCTGTAGACAAAGGCTTTTCACCTAACATTATTAACCAAGCAATTAAAAAATTCCTATTTTTCAACATGTCAAATGGCACACTCTTGTTTTTAAGAGATTATGAGAATTCTGTTGTCATTCCTTTCTTTCCATCGTTTAGCTATAAAATTCGATGTACTTTACAGAAATTTAACTTTCAAATCTTTTTTTCTCCTATCAATAAAATTCCCAGTTCCATACTTAAGGATCTTATTCTGGATATGGATTCCTTTATTATTTACAGGATTCCTTGGCAGTGTGGTTTAATTTATACTTTGGACAAACTAAGAGAGCCGCAAAATTTCATGTTAAAGAACACAAGGCATCTAATTCAGAAGTCAAACAACAAAAATCAGCGTTATACCTACAAAATTTTCACAGGTATAAAATTTTGTAGGTATAACACTGATTTTTGTTGTTTGACTTCTGAATTAGTATTTATTCGGCGTGTTATTGTGTCTTAATTAACACAAGGCATGTATTAGGAAAAGGAAACAGAGAAATCCTCTGTTGCCCAGCACTGTTACTCCAAAAATCAGTTAATTTCTGAAAATCAAATCATAACGAACTTTTTTATTCATTATTATATTTTCTGTTGATTAAAAAATGAAAGTGAAGTTTGTGAGCTTTAAACTTTTAGCTTTTTTTTTTTTTTTTTTTTTTTTATTTATTTATTTATTTATTTGATAACTTATTGAAACTATAAGTGTTTAAATCCTATTCATTAAGTCCTGGAAGTTACAAAATGAAGCAACTAGAAAAGGCAATAAATGAAAATAGAATTGCTGAAATAATGCTTTTTGTGACAGTTAATGAAATGACAAATATATACAAATTAATTTAATATCATATTCAGTAAGAACAATTGTATTAAATGCTGTATTCAAAATAATGAATCTTAAAATTTTAAATCCAGATAACTAGAAGTATTGTTTGAGACAATGTTCCAACAATTTATAGGAAACATTTTAGTGTGGCACTAAAATTATTTAAATATTATTTTAAAAAACAGAGATGATGCACTAGCCTAGACCTTCAATCATGTATAGAAGTCTGTACTAATTATTTTGGGAGTTAACCTAAAGTTTTTAGAAAATGCTTCAAAAATATTTTGTATTTATTTGTTGTTTCAAAAATAAGTTTCCCATTTTTTTTAAAAAGTGTGATTAAATTTTTTTAACATGAAAGTTTAATTAAAATCTTATATTTGTTATAATGCATAATACGTTATTCTAAAATCTAGTGTACGCATCTAAACATCTCAGACAATATATATTGTGTTGTGGTAAATGACAGAGTAAAAATGTCTATAATATTTTACTGTGTGATTTGCTATAAAACAGAATTTAAGTTTAGTAAAAGTAAAAATGTCTATACCATGATACCCATTCTGTGATGTAAATAATATGTTGTGTAATAAAATGTAACATAACTCAGTAAATGGTTCAGTTGGTGTAAAACTAACTATTAGAGGAACAGGCTTGTTTAGTTAAGAAAAATATTAATTATTTATTTTGTAAGAAAAACACCTATGATTTTATAGAATCTGCTTATGACTTTAGCAGGTGACAGGACACTCAATTTAGTAAATAAAAAAAATCTGCAGACATACCCTTAGTTTTTCATATAATGGGTCAGATTGCCCACTTTCCCAAAAATACTACAGTACAAAGTCTGTAATCCAGACTCGTCGGGACTTCAGCGATTTTGGATTATAGATCATCAATTTAAATCTGGTAAGATCACATGCAGAAATTATACAATTAAAAATATGAAACCATAATTTATGAAATAAGAGCAATTATGATCTAAAGGGTATCAAAATTAACAAAAAAAAAAGCTTAATATTTATTTGTTTACTTTATTAAACATTTCTTTCAATGCAAGTTGTTTAAGTTGCTTCGTTTTTTGTGCTAATACTCTTTAATTCTATAAACAGACATAATTTCTTGTTCAGTTACAAAGTTCCTTCTATTGGAAGCGGTATTTTATGGATTTAGAATCATACTACAGATTTCGTCATCCGTCGATTGATGATTGGGTCATTGTCGTCGCAATGAAAAACTTCTGTTATATCATCTTCATTTATTATCACTTCTCCACATTTCTTTACAAAATTCAATAACTGTAAAATTTCACCTTTAGTTTGCGATGTCTGAAAACCTTCAAATTCACGGTTATCATCTTCATCGCCCCCTCACCAAGAAATATGGTAGCTGGCCATAAATTATGCCAAGTATTTTTTAACACGTATCTGGAGACACATCCTCCCAATGTGTGCGTAAAGCATACAAAAAAAAAGTTTGTGGCTTTGATGTCCGGATCATAGATTATTCCAGATAATGGACATCCGGATTACAGACTTTGTACTGTATTACCAAAATTTTACATGTAAGGTTCACAAAATTTATATAAAGGTTGTCTTAATTAAACAGGTTGCTTCAGTTCTTTAATTTCAGTTTTGTCAGAGAATGTTTTACTTGTATGTCGAAGAGAAATTCTTTTTGCGGAAACTTCTATTTCAAGGCTATTTTCCAAAACCACATCTAAAAAGAGAAAAGGGATTTAGTTTAGAGAATATAGTAGATGTGACAGTGTTCAGGACCTGTCCTTTTCCTCAGGACATCAGGATGGTCAGTCATAGCCATCTAATTTACCTTTTTTCTTCTACAGCCAGCATAAAAGCACATGTTCCAAAGAAGTCTTCTAGGCTTTGAATGTCCCCCCCCCCCGATCCTCTTCTGCTCGGCAACATTTTCTTTCTCAGGGAGGAAACTGTTCCCCATTCTCATCCGGCAAACTAAAGAGGGTCACCAAATAACAAAAGCATCAGTGGTGCCTCTTTAGGAAAGCACTTGACCAGCCCCTCAGCCAACTTTCCATCTTTTTTGAAAATAACACATTCCTTTCACTACCCTAGTCACCAGCCTTCAATTACTAGGAAGACAAGCTGGAAACTCCAATTTTCAACCCCCTCTAATGGTGGTTCCTTTGCAGTATAGCAGCATACAATTTCTAGCCTTTCTTCAGGGTCCTATTTCTACCACACAATAATATTTTTCAAAACATTTGGAAATAAAAAGTCACCTTGAAGGGAATAACTCCCCTTCCAATGGATGACAGATAAATTCAGGAATTCAGACGCTGCTTACAGCTTAGGTAAAATATTTTTGAACCATTTTATATACCAGATAAAGTTACAAACTGTT